TCATTAAATAAAGCTACCTTAGATGTTTTGGATTCACTGAAAGTAAGCTTGTCTAAATATATTTGACATTTACATGGATTCAATTTAAACAAGGCAAGATTTATCTCTCAAAAAATAATTAACTGATTGATTTTTTTTCCCCCTCTCTTTTTCTGGTCAATGTGTTCCTCAGTGTTTCAGAATTCATAGAGCTTAGCTCCTCACAACTAGTTCCTATTTGCAGATACAGAGGGCAAGAGCAATCTCCATGCTTTTGCAGTTCCCAAAGGCTTTTTCAGTTTGAATAAGCTAGTCAGTACTTTGAACCAGGTGAATAAACAGGAAAAAAAGGAAATATTCTGTGGAGGCATGAACAGACCTCTCTTGTTAAAAACTGGCTGAACACTTTTGTAAAGTGTTTTCTGGACACTCACCACTGACTTTTACTTACTCAATAGTTGCCTTTAAGACATGGTAGTAAATGTGTAGGGCTTTATTAATTTTTTTACTGTAATTAATTAATTAATTACTTGACTGTGTTCTAAAACAAAACAGTGTCTCACCACCCTCATAGTAAATAATTTATTCCTTATATCCAAACTAAATCTACCCTCTTTCTGTTTAAAATTTTGCCCCTTGTGCTGTCACTCCAGGCCCTGCTAAAAAGTCTCTCTCCACTTTTCTTACAAACTCCAGTTAGGAACTGGGAGGCTGCTCTAAGGTCTCTCTGGAGCCTTCTCTTCCCCAGGCTGAACAACCATAACTCTCTCAGCCTGTCTCCATAGGAGAGGAGCTCTAGCCCTCTGATCAGCTTGGTGGCCTCCTCTGGGCTTGCACCAGGAGGTGAATGCCATTCTTGTACTAATGTCCCCAGAACTGGATGGAGCACTCCAGGTGGGGTGTCACTCGAGCAGGGTAGTGAATAATGCACGTGAACATGGAAAACTGGTTCTAAGGTCTGAATCTGAGCCTGTAAAATTGCATGCTTTTTTGTTTTTTCTTTAGTCCTGTAGACCTCTATCCTGGGGTCTGGTTTCTTCTCTGCAGTGTCTCAAGTCAGTTTGCTAGAACTATTGCCATAGAAGATGGGTTTTGTTAGGTTTTTCCACTGAGGAGTTCCTTGGTTGTAATCAAAGTTGCCAGTTAACTAAGAAAGTAAGTGACTTGGTCAAAATTAAGAATCTAGCCTAAGACCCAACAAATGTTCCCACAAATACATTACAGGTAGTTAAATCTTCACCACAGTTTTTCAAGGTAGAACTTGCTTTATGTAGGACTCCAAACTTTACCAATAGGATCCGGTTTGGGATTTGATTCTTTGTAAGACTCGAGATGATTCCTAAGCCACTGTGTTAAGATCTGGAAATTGTTGTGGGTTTGGCTGAGCCAGTTGATCAATTTATAAACAGTTTTCAACTTCTATGAGGGCTTATCTACTTGATGACCAGATTTGAATTAACAAGTCAGCATGTTGTGGTTAAAAGAAGTCACTCTGCCTGGAGTTCTGCTGGGATTTCTTTCCTCTGTTTGGTGGGATGAGTAAGACAGGTGAAGCAAGAGCCAGGGGCTTGGTACTGGGCCAAGAAGGATCAGAAGGGAATAGACTCTTTCAGTTGCATGTGTGGATTTTCTGAGTGTTAGCTGGTGTGCTAGTTACTGATCCCTTTTGTGAGAAGTATGCAAAGTTGCAGGGTTCACATTCATCTCTTGAAGAGATTCATGCCTTGCCTGTGGTTTGAGCACCTTCTTATGACATTTTCCAAAATTCCCTGGGCATCATTTTGAAATTTCCCCAAACTGAATTCCAAGTAAAGAAATTAAAGCCTACAGTCTAAAAGCTGGGGAAAAAAAAATTAGTAAGATTTGAAGCTCATTGAATGATCTTCGTGTAGGGGCCAAGCATTGAGAGAAGCACAGAACAGTTTACACTATGTTGCCTTCAGGCTTTCTGACCCAGTCAGTTCCTGCTCCTTTTGCTATGTTTGTCCAGGTGTGTTCTCAGTTCCTTGCTTGATTTTGGTGCAACGGACAAATCTGCTCTCAAGGCAGCAGAAAGAAGGTGCAGCAGCCTACTTTGCAATTGTGGAGAGATTCTTTAAAGGGATTCCATTTTGTTATGGATGCTAGTCAGGTTGCAGAAACACTAAAGCCTGATAGATTTTTATGAGCCTTACAGGAACTATGAAATATCCTTAATGCAAAAGTTTACTTCATTTTCAGAACACAAGTATAGCAAATCTCATTGTCTTTGAAAATGCTACACAGCTGTTATGGAAATGAGCTTGTGTGTGTTTAAGAGGTGATTAGGAGCATGAAGTTTGAGATTGGAAAGGAAAGAAGGCAACAGCAGAAAAGGCCTGTATGATGTTGGTGATAAGTGTCTAGAGGAGCATGAAGAGTGGTTCAGTTGCTTTGATGAATTACTCTGCACTACAGGCTCTCCCACAAATGCAATTCTTGAAAGTGAGGACTTCCTCCTCTCTGCAGTCTCCCGTCAAAGTGCTCTGCAGACAGCGATACTTCTCCCATACTCTTTTCATGCAGTTCATTGAGACCACTGCCTTTTTATTTTCTTCAAAGATATTAAAACACAGGAATGATTTCCAAGGTCCTTTTCCTCATTCTGAACCATGGACAAAGTTATCCATTTATCATGTGTATGACCTTTACTCCTCCTCCTTTTCAGTTTTTGATTCAGGTTTTAACTGTGGAGAGGTGTCTATATGGTTTTGCATTGCCAGCATGGACTGTGTCCTTTGCTCCAGCTGAAGTGTGTTTTCAAGAGGAGTAGATCCCTTACTCCCCATGGGAATCTTGGCTCAACACTTCTATCACAAAGGCCTTCTTGGAGTCCATTTAGAGAAAAAAAATTAGCTAGAAAGGTGGCTTTGCTTTCTCTGTTGCAGAGACTTTGTCTGGGTTTGTGACACCTGTGTCAGTCACTGCCTTCGATGCAGATCCTTCAAATGTACGTTCATGTGACCAAAAGCCAGGTTTGCCAAAGCTAAACAAGGAATAGAGAGCACACCTGGGCAAACACGGTAGGAGGGCATGGTGGGACAGGGTCAGAGAGATCTCCCCAGTGCTGGCCCTAGTAGGTGCAGCTCCTGCCAGAAATCTGCCAGCATCTGGACCTCTTTGGCTGTGATTTGTGATAGATCTGCCTCATACCTTTTGTAGGAAAATCTGATTTTAGACAAAAAATTTGTAAGTTTGCCTCGCAGATTCTTTTCAGTAATGCTAAGCAATAGAAAAAGAGGAATGGGCAGAAACTGATGCTCTGGAAGTTCCACCTGAATATGAGGAAAGAACTTTGCTGTGTGGGTGACTGAGCACTGGAGATTGACCAAACAGGCTGTGAATTCTCCCTCACTGGAGATATATGAAAACTGACCAGATGAAATCTGGTGCAATGTGCTCTGGAAGGAATCAGCTTCAGCAGGGAGTTTGGACCAGATGACCCGCTGTGGTCCCTTCCAACCTGACCCATTCTGTGATTCTGTGACTGTCATTCTCAGTAATGTGATCTCTTTCTTTGAGAAGGACACAAAGAAGCAAGAATGGGGAGAATGTGTTCATCAAAATAAAAAGTGTCTAATCTCCCTTGCCTAGGAGCCTAACAGTGATTTAGACCAACTCAGAGTTGACTTCTATCAGGCTCTGGCCAGTTATCTCAATCAACTGAACAGTGAAATGTCCACTTGAGACAAAGGCAATACTAGCTAGCAGTAACATCCTGTACACAATGTGCAGCCCTCATGATGCATTTCAGTCTTCCCAAATCCATCTGGGAACAGACTATGGAGAGCCTTGAGAACAGGGCTCCTGAGTTAGCTGAACATTTCTGTGCGTACTGCTCTTTTTGCCAGCTGAAGAGATCTCAGCTGCCTGCTTGAATAACATCATGTTGGAATGTAGGTATGGAAAGCTTAGGCTGCATTGGCACTATTAAACAGCACTGGGAAATATTTCCAGGCACAGAAATGTCTGTATTATTAGGACAGTCCCTTGTACACTTCAGCTCAGGCTAACTAATGCTCACAATGCTCACAAAAGCCTAGTTTGCAGACTGCTCACAGCAGGCAGTTTATGTGGTGACTGCACTTTTCTGGAAGTCAGACTGGACAATTATCACCAGGACAATTATCTACTTGCTTTACAGGCTGCCATCAGTGCTTACAAAATGTCCCACATATTAAATTTGTGAGTTTTAAGCTGACCCACAGGACCAAAAGCAGAACCAAAAGGCTGTATCCCTGGACGCCAGACCTTTAGACCCAGACACGAATAATGAAGGACAGGAAGGCATTCCTGCCCTCCCTGCAGATAGTGCTATGACTAATGGGTGTTGCAGGGCGCTGGTGGAGACCTCTGTGGGCCAGTATTTGTTTCCATTTTCCTCATGGTACAGAGGGAAGGAAAAGACAAAGTCATTAGCTCATTAGTGGTTGCTGGTTGGTGGCAGTGTTGCTGCAGCACTTCCTTAGGCACATGGAAGGTTTCATTCCATTCCCAAGCCAGGCAGCCTAAGGAGATCCACATTCCCCTAATCTGATGCAGAGCTCCTGGGCTTTGCCCTGAATGAGGACACTGCTGTGTGCAGGGGGCAGCTCTTGCTGCAGGCTGCATAATGGCAATCCATCTCCAGCTGAAACAAAGGGATGCAAGTGCCAAGTGATCAGGACCTGGCCTGGGTCACTGATCAGCAAAGTTCTCACTGTTTTTTTGCCGTGAGAAGTCCATTTGGTCAGGTGTCTCCACAGCAGCCTTGCAGGAGGGGATGTTCTGAACTGATGGATGGCAGCCAAAGCTGCTGCTATTGGCCAAGGGGCACTTGGCACAGTACATTTATCCTTACAGCTGCCTGTGTGGAATCTCTGGAGAGAGGGAGAGGCTGGCTCCTCCCCACATCCCACCTCTTCATTTAGGGTGTGCTAGAAAGAAATTACCCCCCCTATAAACAGCCTCAGAGATTTCAGAGGAAGAGAGCCATTTGAGATTGGACAGCAAGAACCCCCAGCATGAGGATATCCATCCTCCTGAGCCTTCTATTCCATGCTGCAGCTGCTTCTCACCAACCGTGAGTGATGCTGAACTCTTGTTTCAGTCTCTTTCATGAAGGCGTCAGTCTAGCTAGATGGACCACATCCCATGCCATCAGCTCTCATGCTTCCTGCTCTATCAGATCACCCCAAAGGGTAGCTGAGTCCTATACCTTGCCTACCAAGCCTTTGACTCTTGCAGGTCAATACAAGCCAACTTTCTGGGGGGTCTTCCGGGTCAGACCTTAGGCCCAGAGGTGTTTGCTCTGCAGTGCAATGCTAGATCAAATCACTGGTGTCTAGACTGCACGGTTATGAAACCATTTCTTTTGAAGACTGCATGGGGTGTTTTTGGAGAGTTCAGGAGATTACTGGAATAAGGGGTTTGAAAAAGATTGTAGGGCTATACTTAAGCTAATAAAGCAGAAACTATTTCTCACATTTCAGTGAAGCAACCACTTTGCTGGGCTCACTATTGCTTTTGAATGTTGATGGCACATTGCTGAGGGATTCTGCAGTAGTGGGCCACAGCAGGGAAGTTTTCTTACATCTCTTGAGTCCTCAAACTGATACCACCTCTGCTGTCTTTCCCCACCACAGACATTACATGGTGGTGATTCCTGAAGCTCTCTGGTACCCGTCCACCCAGGTTGCCTGCCTCCATATCACCTGTCATGATGCAAAAATTCAAGTGAATCTGGCCTTGGAGCGCTCTGCAGGACGGGAGGTCTTAATGCAAGAAACCATCCAGAAGAAGAAGACTTTCCTGTGCACTAAGTTCTGGGTGAGCCACCCAAGGCAGATTCCATCGCTGATTCTCCTTTCAGGAAAATGCTTGTGTTACTCCCTTACCAGGGGTGACATAGGTTGTGTCTACTTTGTCTTGGTGTGAGCCTTTCAGGAAGGAGAATGGGTGGTGCCTAGGGATGCACAGCCTGACACAGTCTGTTGGTTAGCACTGAATTTCCTTTCTGAATCTAATTTTTAAATGGAATTTTCATCTGTTAAAATCTGCCAGGGTTCCAGATACCACCTGTGTCCTTCTCCTCCATTACAGACCAGATGAAGTAGCTTTAGCTCTTTCTGAAGGATTTGTGCAGGTTCACAGCTGAAGCTTGGGGAAATGGTGTCTTGCAGGACACACTGCAGTTTCTGTAGTACCTGAAGTCAGGCAGCAACTCAACTCTTGGGAGCTACTGAGGACTAGTTGGATGGAAATGGATATGCTGCTTGTTTATAAACAGCATCTTAGAGGTTATTAATTGTTGGTGAGAACTTAGCAAAGATCTGGGATAAGGCAGGCATGTCTAAGCAATATCCTTTCTGTTATACTGTATATTCTATGCTAAGGCTGCTGGGGTCTTTGGCATCTTTCTGGTTGTGTTTTCTGCTTTGGATTTCTTGTTTGTAAGTGCTGGATAGTTCTGAAAGCCTAAGATTTGAGGCTGTGCAACTGCTCAATCTCTCTTTCGATTCTCTGCTACCATCTCCCACCTTCCTGTCATCTGCCCATCTTCCTGAACAAGTCTGAAGACTCAAAAGTCAGGTGCTTGCTTGTCACCAGTGGGAAAAAGGACAGATTCCAGAGGTTGGCTGGTTATTGTTCCCTCCTGGAACAGTGTGAGGGAACCAGTTAGTTGTTCCGCTTCACTCTCAGAAGATTACCTGGGGCATGTGTGCTCTCCTCTCTCTGTGTTACAGGTTGCCCCTCCAGCTAATGGCACAGAGGAGGTTGCTACTGTAAAACTGACCATCACAGGAGAAGGGGTCAATGTTGAGGAACAGAAAAAGGTCCTGATCTGCAAGGCCAGGAGTGGCACCATCATCCAAACTGACAAGCCCATCTATGAACCAGGGCAGACAGGTGAGATGCAAATGGGAGCAGCTGAGGGTCCCAGGCTTTTTGCTGGTTGCACCATATGGAAAGACTGTGATGCCCTGAAATGCAAGAACAACCTTAGCACAAAGCTTTGAGACCATGTGTCTTGCTGAGTGCGGTTTCAGTGTTTGTAATGTCTGGCTTGTGATGACTGTGGAGCTGCAGGAGGCAGTAGATAATGATAACCATGTCCATGGTACCTTACATGTGGGAACGTTAGTGTCAGATGCTACCACAAGTGTGTCTAGAGTGGAGATAGGAGCTAGGGTAGCACATGGAGTAGGGGTCTGTAGGGAAAAACTGAGATCTGATAATATATTCCCTGATTTCCTTGCCTTCAGTGAAATTTCGCATTGTGACTCTGGATGAGGAATTCCATGCACTCAACGATTCGGTAAGCAAGTCCTGGGGGCTGTGGAAGAGGCTTCCTTGTACCATGCATGGATCCTACCTCCTTTCCACTCCTTTCACTGCCAAAACTCCAGCTTTTCCACATTTATCCCTGGCAGGTTTTATGAGTATGCAGAGGGCAATAGTAACTGCCAGGAAGGTGGCAGAGGTGTGCACATCTCTTGCTCATCTTGGTAGAACAGTCATGCAACTGCATGTATGGGACATATTCGTTCCTGATGTGAAGGTGTCATGGGGGGAGTGAATAGATTGTAAATCAGGTTTTCCTTCTTGGGGGGAAGGGTGCTTTTAATCTGCACCCTACAAGATGGAATGTGGGAAATGCTGCTTAGACATTAGGACAAACTTTTTGATTGCAACAATGTGGAAATGTGTCCAGAAAAGGCATTTTCATCATTGGAGATGTTCAGAACATAGCTGGAGAAGGCTATGAACAATCTGCTCAGGGAGACACATTTCAGCAGGATGTTGGATTAGATGGCCTCCAGAGGTTCTTTCCAAGTTATGTGATCCTATACCTCTGTAGCCCTCTTAATACTGGACCTGAACTAGAGCTACATTTGTTTGTGTGGTGACTTGTGAGTTTTTCTGTCAGGAAGTCATTAGCAAGTGTTGTGTGACCTCCAGATTGGTTTTTCCTTTCCCTTTCTTCAGACCTTACTGCAATGAACCCACCTGGTATTTCTCTGGTATTTTTTGGTGGCATTTGTTTTACTTTACTCTTCCAACCTAGTCATTCTGTTGAATTGAATATTGTTGAATTCTGTTGAATTGTATTGTTGTCAGTGCTCTTAAGTTTCCAAATCACCAGTTGCACATCCTTCAGAGAGGGCTCTGAGTCTGAAGTACTTTGTGTGTGGTGCTGGCATGTGTTTCTCTTTTCTAATGTTTTTGCATTTTTTCCTCCCCAGATTTCCCTGTTTCTCCTGGTGAGTGATGCTGAAACCTCATGTTAGAGTAATGGTGATGGCAGTCATTTCACTGTGCTGTTCATATTCACTTTCTGATAGATTTTAAAGACCTCTGAGTGGAATAGTAGACCTTTTTTTGTTGTTGGATGTTAAATTCTTAAACTAAGATACTCCTTTCAGCTTTTTTTTATGTACTCCTTTGAGATTATGCTCCCAGGGACTTCAGTAGAAATCTGTTGTTCTAGATTTGCAAGAGAATAAATAGAAAACTTAGATGCTTATGAAAGAAAGTTAGAACAGCAAAGAAGCTTTGCTTAAGATCAGAATTTAAATAAGTGTAGAAGGAGGCTCAGATGCTGGGAGCAGAATCTGAACATTATCATGCCTTCAAAATTTCCTGATCAGTCTATACCAAACCTCATTTCCTTAGCTATAGAATCTGGTAGTCTACCACACTGAAATCCTGAAGCTCAGTTTCTATGGGATGTGGATCAGCGAGCGAGATGCTGGAACAACTCTTTCTTTCTTGTGGGTGCAGGACCCTAAGAACAACCAGATAGAGCAGTGGCAGAACGTGGTCCCTCAGGATGGCATTGCAGACCTGTCTTTCCAGCTGAGTGACGAGCCCCTGCTGGGAACGTACGTCATCAATGTCACCAGCTCCAGAGCCTACGGCAGCTTCTCTGTTAAAGAGCATGGTAAGAGCACGTGGGGGTTTGTCTGAGCTGCTGAGAGGACCTTGTGCTCCTGGTCCAGGAAGCAGGGTGTTTTTTCCTTGATAACCTTCCTAGGAGCACATGGGAGAAGTATTAGCATCATAGGAAAGAGTCTGAGCTGAGGCTTAGGAGAGGAGGTGACTTCGGGACCTTAGTGTGTGGGAGAAGTGTTGTGCATGGCCCCAGACCTTTGACACAGCTGATTCCTATGGATCCCAGAGTCAGATAAAGCAAGGCAATTTAGGATGGACTTTTTCAGAGAACATGAAGTCCAATGCCCTCTCACTTCACTTTCATTCTCTAATCAACTGTATTGGGAGGCCAGTCTTCTCTCAATGAAAATAGCTGTCAGAAGTGGAGGGACATGGGGATGTTTGGTTTTAGTTTGGGAAGGAGCAAATCATCCAGGGCCTACACACAAATGTGTTAAAGATACATGGAAAATCTTTCCTTTCCTTTCCCCTTCTCACCACCTTCCTTCCCCATTTCCTGTCCCTTATTCCACCACAGTCTGCCTTTATGTTAATTCTTTGTGAAGGCTGTCCCTGGCCTGTGTTTCCTACAGTTCCCTGTTTTTCCTTTCCAGTGCTGCCAAAATTTGAAGTGATCTTTGAGGCACCAAGTCAGATTTATGCACTAGATACAACCTTCCTGCTCCGGGTATGTGGCAGGTGAGGATTCTGACTGGAGGGATGACCCTGTGTTAATTTCTGGCCTGACGTGCACAAGCTGGATGGGTTATCGTGAGGAGCTAAGGGCAAGATGACTACACTTCAGTCACAGGAAGCCAAAATCTTCCATGACAGCTGTTTGCACCCTGAGGCAACATGAAACATTCCTGTAACTATCATTCTGATGCTCTAAATGTCCCTTTTCTAAGAACACTCCACAAATCTCTACACACAAAACCTGGGGGAGCAGCCTACCCTTTGACAAGCAACTGTTTGTGGGATAGATCATGGCAGATACGTGGTGTTCATCTCCCTGAAGAACAAACTCATGGGAAATGATGGGAAGGTTTTCCAGATTATGCTCACGTGGAAACTAAAGGGAGGCAAAAAGGAATTTCCCCAGGTATGATCCAAGGACAATGCTAGTTAGCCCCATGTGAAGGTGATTTTTTAATAAAAGGCACTTTCTTAGTCACCCAAGTTTCTGGTCATAAGACGATGAATGCCTTCAGCACATCCTGGGGTTATTGCAGTTAATGCTGATGTATAATGCGGTCAGCACTTAAAACACTCTAGTTACCCAAAATAATTTAGTTTAGTGCTAATAATATCATAAAGCCCTTGATCTCCCATCACTGCACAGCCTTGGCCTGACCCTACTTGCTGGGTCAGGACTCCTGGGCCTGCTGTGTGGATGCCACTCTTGTGGTGTATTGTGAATATCTGGCAGTGCATGGTCTCTGGGGCTATGCAAAGCAAGCCATGTGTTCTCCCACTGTGTGCGACTGTCTCTTCCTTTCCCTGCTCCACACAAACAGATCCACTCGTGGGAAAAGCATCCAGGGGAAGGTTCATGTGAGCCTTTGTCAGAAGATAGCCCCGTTCCTGCCCAGTGCTTCCAAACCCGATCTCTGTCACAAATTCAGCAACCAGGTGAGATGCTTAGGAAGAGCTGAACCGTATTCAGAGGCATTTGTGCTCAGCCTCAGGGTAAGACAAGGCTGCTGGGTCCTTTAGCTGAAGTAATAGCAATGTTAATCCAATATTTTGGCTGCTTGGCCACTGCTACTGGTGCTGCCTCTCAGCAGCTGTGCCTGACGATTGTGACTGAGCCTCATCATGTACCTGCTCCACATCCTGGGCTGCAATGCCAAAAGGCAAAGCACCCTGAGAGCAGGGGTTTTGTGCCGCTGTTCCTCTGCCACTTCCATAACTTCTAATCCAAGTGCCTTGCTCAGACCTTTTTCCTTCTCTCTGAACTTTCAGACAGATGAGTCAGGTTGCTTCTTCACAAATGTGAGCCTGTCCTCCTTCAGCCAAGACTTTCGGTACTATCGGGACAGCATAGTTGCAGAGGCCTCGCTGGTGGAGGATGCCACAGGTAACTCTAGAATTTCTGGTGCCTGGGAAGAGGAAAGTTGTGCTAATCTGACCAAAAGATCTGAAGGTGTGGTAATCTGACCAAATGCACTGGAGACTTTCCAGCTAGCAAGGGATCTGAGCCTTCTGAGCCCATCGGGGCTTGCTATCCAACCTCACATATAGAGACAGGGACAGCAGCTCTTGACAGTGTGACACACTCTGAGTGTGGTGTCAGGTGAGGCTCTCTAAAAGTTAGAAGTTAAGTGGGAGGAAGACCAGATACCCAGAATCTTGGGAATATCGCCATTGTGATGTGAAATGTGTGTGTAGCTGAACGTGTCCATCTGTATTACCAGTGGGTCACTCTGCAGGGAAATTGCTGAGAAGTGCTTGTCTTTCTTGCTCCTTCTCTCACGTTTTTGTCTTGCTGCTTCCATTCAGAGATACAGGTCAATGCTTCCCACAAATTACTTATCTCCAGGATTGGCGGGTTGGCTTTGTTTAATGATGTGAATTCTTACTACCACCCTGGACAGATGTTCAGAGGAAAGGTAATTCCCAGTTTCAGTTCTTTGGAGGGGAGAGTGTAAGCAATATTTCACAGTAACATTTACTTACCGTCTTTTCTGACCCCTTTTCTAGCCAGGGGCTTGGGAGGGCACAAATTACTCCCAGAGACAAAACTCTTGAGTTGTCCAATGTCAGAATAAATCCCAAGACTGCCATTTACCAAATAACCCATGAGGGGGAGCAGCTATGGGCTTAAATATCTGGGATGCAAACCCAAACATTTGGAATTTCATCAGCCAGGAAGTCCTCTGCTGAGAAGTGGAGAATACTGGAGGTTGGACCAGATGACCCCCTGTGATCCCTTCTAACCTTACCCATTCTGTGATTCTGTAATTCTGTGAATGAACATGGTAGTGCAAGTGGTAATAGGAGCAGTAGCAGTGTTGATAAAATTATTGGTGACTGAAAGAATGATCTTGCTGTCTTTGGAAACACTGCTCCTGACTTGGGGAAGCCAGAGATTCTGCCTGCTGATTAGATTTTTCTGCACTTCTCTTGTTCCCCATGATGTTCTCAGATTAAAGTAATTGATCACCAAGGCAAGGCACTGAAGAACAAAGAAGTCCTTCTTGTAGTAAACTGTGCTGAGCAGCAATTTAGGCAGAAGTTCATCACTGGAGACTCTGGAACAATTTCATTTACCCTGGACACCTCTGCCTGGAACAGCACCTTGGTCTCCCTGGAGGTAAGGAAGGAAGGGTGTGTCTTGTGGCAGGAGTATGTGTGCATGTCAGAGCTATTTACTGCCCTATAGACATCTTCCTTGTTCCTTCCTGAGGGAGAGTAACTCAAACCTGAAGCACCTCAGCATGTTCTAGATCTTGGCTCTCCCTCTGAGAGCTTATTCTCCAGGTCTCAGTTCCTTTCCTCATCAGCTCTCCACAGCAAGACCTGTCCTTTGTGATTTGCAAATCCAGGGTGATTTGCAGCTGACTTGATTAACTAGAGAAATTAACTGGTTTAGTTCTTTTGTCTCACCAGGCAAGTGTCCTGCATCAAGATTCGGACAGAGAGCCTGGGACAGTTGACTTGAGTTACCAGCGAGCCTCTTATTTCATACATCCGTTCTACAGCACCAGCAGGAGCTTCCTCTCTATCATCCGTGTGCCAGAGACAATACCCTGTGGTAAAATGCAGTCTGTCCAGGTGGACTTTAGAATTTATGAGGAAGACCTGGAACATGGGCCCAAGCGCGTCATTTTCTCCTACTTTGTGAGTTTCTGGGAAAGCACTAGTGGGTGACAGCTGAAGGCCCAAGATCAGCATCTCTTAGAGGTTCAAGATATTTGAGACTACTTGATAGTCTTGGCTCAGGCCAGGACAGGGAGTTCCTCCAGTCATCATGGAACTGAATCCTGGTTTTGATTCTGGTACCGCAGTAATAGCAACAAAGGCAGAACCTTTCCTGTAGGCTATGCACAGGTGCAGGCCTTACCTGTCCTCCCCCACATCACTTCATCCCTGAGCTCTCCTTACCAGCTGAGATCAAATAAAGCTAATATTCCTCCCCGACCCCCATTTAATCTCCCAATTTAATTTCAGGGTTACTTTGATCTTCTTAGTGATCTCAAAGGCTACGTGACTATGTGACCATCCCTTTCTGTGTTCTTGTCTAGGTCACAGGGAAAAGAGGGATAGTCCATGCAGGTCAGCAGACTGTTTGGATTGGGCTGCCAAGAAGTAAGTGCACTCCCCAGTGCCATGTCTAGCAAGCACTTAGTGGTCTGTGACATCCACTCTTATTTGGATAAGTGGCATAAGCCTCCCTTCAATGTAGGGATGTCTCACCACTTGTGTGCTGCATCAGAGTACTGTGCTTTTCTAGATTTCATGTTCCCTTTGCCCTCTTGCTTTGGACCAAGAGAAGAATACTCAGCATTTCCCAGCCCATAGGCACATCCTCTGTTGTCTTCTTTTATTGTGTTGTTGTTGTGTTCTTTTTGTCTCCTTCTGCTGCTGCTCCTGAAGCATGAAACTGTAGCCTTACCCTCCATAGCAACTGTTTCTATAAATAATTTGGGTCATTAGGATGCCACAGATTATAATTTTGATGTCTGTTGACCCACTGTTGCCTATTTCTCCAGCTCTGTTTCTTAAAACCTGAGTTATAAGTATTTTGGGACAAGGTCACCTCTTTGTTGGTGATGGGATGAGAGATGTTGGGTGAGAGGAGGCTTTAAAATATATCTGAGACTTTCACTTTTTGTGGAGCCAAGCTTGAACTCCAAAGTACTGTTTTGTGTCCCCAGGGCAATAAACAAAAAAGTCTTTTGCTTGTCTTGAATCCAGATCCAGAGATGTGCTGATTGTTTCAGTAGTCTCTAGAAATCAATTTGGTCTTGAAAGACCAAAGGAGGAATTTATTTAAACAGGCACATGCAGAATGGCAAAGCTGATCAGACTCTATTTTCACTACAAAATCTACTTCCTCTTATTCCTATTCCTGTTACAGAAGAAGATACACTTCTTCTCTTATTTCTTATTCCTTACTTCTCTTATTCTTCTTCTCCATCTAGTGCTGGAAAGCTCCTTCTCCATCCCTCTTACATTCAGCTCGACCTATGCCCCAGCTCCAAGACTTGTTGTTTATGTCATCTTCCCTAATGGAAAAATCATTGCCGATTCTGCCATCTTCAGTGTCTCCACGTGTTTCAGAAACAAGGTAGGGTTTGTGTCTGAGATGTGGCTAGATGTGTGAGCGTGAACGTGTCTGCTGCAATGAAAGGAGAGCTGTGCCTCTGTGTGTGGCCCGTACGACGTGTGATGCAGTCACATGAAACTGCAGTTTGTGATTGGTGAGGTGTGCTGTGATGTTTGGAGCAAGTGTGTGCTCAGCATTGTGGGGGCTGCTGCGATGTTTGGGAAAGGCAGAGTTGCTGTCTGTCTCCATAGGCAACTGCAGCCTGGGAGGATCATAGAAAATCCAGCCCAGCACAGGTCGTTTGTGTGGTTCTTAGGAGAGCTCAGGGCTGCTCTGCTGCTGCAGCAGATAATTAGGATTGCTAGTATGTGGTACTGGGATGACATCTGAAAGTAGATGAGGGAAGAAGTGGATTTTACTGGCCATCCAGAAAGGGCTGAGTGCATCTGGTCATTGTGACATCCTCGGGAATCTGCTTTCTTGGCTGTGTCTTGCGCTCCAAAAGTGAATTTCTGAGAGGGCATTACCCCTGCTCCACAGCTGTTTGTCTGCCATAGACAGTCAGATTCAAACAAGAACAGGAAGACTTTCAGGAAACTGAGGCCCATCCCACAAAGAGCCTGGAGATAAGGACTAGGCTTATTTTTGATCTGGGACCCCAGAAGAAGGTGCTTCATAAGACAGCTGTGAGGTGTGTGACCATAGCTGGCTGGTTTGCTGGGTAAAGAAGAGAGAACTGTGCTCTGACACAGAAATGTCTCCATATGCACACTGATGGCTCCCCCTCTGCCATCTTTCCTGTTAGAACTTCAATGAGGTGTATTTTAAGCACCTTCTGAACCTGGGAGGATCTGTCCAAGGCAGGTCTTTGGAAACTCTCTTCATGTAGGTCCCTTCCCTGCTTGGGAAGTGGTAGGGTGGCACCTAGAAATGTCACTAAGGCATTGCCTGCATTCTTCCCATCCAGGTAGAGCTGGGCTTCTCAGTGCCAGAGACTCTCCCTGGCTCACAGGTTGGCCTCCACCTGCAGGCAGCTCCTGGCTCCACCTGTGCTGTCTGGGCTGTGGATCCAAGCTCCTTTTGGATGAAGCCAGGAAAAGGACTGAGCAGCCACTCGGTGAGCGAGCCTGCTCTGACGTTTTCCCTTCCCTGCTGACATGAGGCGGGAGGGAGGCGACTGAACTTCTGCAGAACTTAACTGAAAGCACAGCCTGGAGGGATCAGCAGCGCTCCCACTGTGGTGGGTAGGGATTAGGGACTAAGGAAGAGGTTGAGTACCACTCAGTCACTCATCACTAATACAGCTTCTGTGCTAACACTGTCAGAGGAGAGCCCAGGAAGAGTGACAGCGATCCTGGGCTTTCTGGCACGCGTTCATACGCAGTAGCCAGAAGCATCTCAAACAGGCCTTGGACGTGTGAGAGGAAGGGAATGCCAGGTTTAATTTGCACTGAATTTTTTTTTTTTCCTTGCTTTCTCAGATCTATGGGCTGTTCCCATCTTATAACTCCAGGTATCTTCACCAAGTGTCTGAAGATGATCGTTCATGCGGGTTCCCAAATTCTGATGGGCCTGATGTGTTTACGGCATTCAGGGTAAAAATGGTTGATTTGGTGGGTTGAGATAATTCATGGACTGAGGGAAATGTGGCTCCTGACTTTTCCAATATCCAAGGGCTGCCATTGCAGGCAGGACAGTGAACAGGTGCACTTTAGGCCCTTGTAACTCATTATTTGAATAGGTGACTTGAAATGTATAAGGAAAAAATCATTGTGTGGTTGCCACATTTGGGTTGTGTGACTCAGGATGCCAAGGATTATTCATTACTTTAATTGGATTTCACACAATTTGTTTAATCTTCATAGCACGAACAATTGCACCCTGCAGGCAGAGAAGGCAGGGTACTCAAATGACCATGTGTTTGTAAAGGAATAAATTTGGCTGATTCAGGCCAGATGAATTACCTTATAGGACCTTGTTTGCCCATTGCTGGGGATCTGAATTATTCCTTCTTAAAATGAAGGAAGAGAATACAGAGGACAGCCAGGTCCCCACTGTATGAGGGGACAGGAAGGTACAAGGGCAGAGGGCAGAGAGGAGAGGACAATCTTCTGGTGATTAATCTCTTCTTACAGGAAATGGGGTTGAAAATTATGTCCAACACCAATATCAAGAAACCCAGAGTATGTCCAACCACTCCACTGACAAGTACACTGCGGGGAACAGGAAAGATTATTTCCAGGCCCATGCTGATGTTTGCCCAGCCCCATAAAGTGTATAACAGTAAGTATCTGCCAGTTGTTTCTTCTTACATGGGAGGCTTAGTCTTTTATGTGAAAGCAGTCCAGGGTTTGAGCCAAGAGGCAGCACTTGCTGTAAGTACAAATGGAGGAGAAGGAGGGTTTTGTGTCCCTAACCTGTTGTGCTAATATGAGGGGTGTTAGTGGGATGTTTGGATGTTTGGATCCCAGGTTTTAACTCTGGAGTGAGGGAAATGTTGCCTGTCCCATGGTGCCTCCACATGGAAGTAAAGCCCAAAGCACCTCTGACATTTGATAGGATTTTAAAATTTGGGACAGCACATTTTGTTCTGTTGCCATGCTGTCAAGAGCTGACTGAATTTGCTGCAGCCTGAGCTGTGCTGGAGCTCCTCTGCTCTTAACCAGGACCTGACGACCCTGTGGTGACTATAGCTCCTTGTTGTTTCCAACAGAGCATCTGATAGCAACCTATCAGCCCACTATGTTTCCACCTTCTTCTTCAGCTGAAGAGAAAGTACACAAGCATTTTCAACAAACCTGGCTGTGGGATTTGTATTCTGTGGGGTGAGTAAACTGAGCAGCGGGGCTTTAGTCTGGGCCATTTTGTGTGGCTGGGAGTGGCAGCAGATGCAGCTGAGCTTAGGTCATAGGCAGCTGTGCAAGACACTTAAGGACATACATCACAGGGCTCATACCTGTAGGCTGTTCATTGCTGGAGTTGATGTATGCATTAAATGCATTCTCCTCTACTAGAAGTGCTGGTCATCCATGAAAGGTGGCTGGCATAGGAAGACAGAAAAGCATGAGGTGCAGCAAAACAGCTTAGCTCACTGCCTGCACTCTGCTTTTGGTAGTCTTGTGGGCTTGCATTTCCCAAAACATGCTCACGGATGTATCCTGGTATCCAGGGGAAGCTGATGTACATAGAAGTCCTTCACAGGACTGAAAATTGTGTCCTGTGAGAAAGGCTCAGTGTGCACACAGGGTCTGTTGAGAGAGCTTTTGGAGATGTTTCATCTGAGATTTCAAGATTTTCTTGTGTGTTCTCTGAAGATTGAAATCTGCTCAGGACAGATCCTGAGCATATTTCCCATCAATATCTGTCCTCTCCCAGCTCCACTGTCCTTACAGATACATCCACATCTCCCCCCCTAGCAGCAGATATTTCCTCTGTGACTTGTCCACCAGCCTGATCTGAGCCACCAAAAGGTTTCTGTGCTGTGTGTGTTGCCTTCTTGTCCATGCATGGTGAAATAAGCTAAATAATACCAGTATCTTTAGCTATGTCTGCTTTTTGTGTCAGTTGTGGTAAAAGCTGCAGAACAGTCTTCTCTCAAAAGTTGAGATGTGTGCACAGGACAAGTCTCTGCCCTGCCCTCATGTTGGGCTTTAAGCTGTCAGTGTCCCACAGGACAGAGAATGGCTTGATCAACCTTGTTTGCTAAGCTCTGCTGCTGCTAGTCCTATTGCTCTGCTGGTTTCTGGTTTCTGGTTCTCCATTTCCTAGGCCAAGAAGAATAAGGCTGCTGATATCTGTAAGTCATTTTTAGATGTGCATAGGGCAAGTCCTGCCTGTGACTGATGGCATCTTGCAGCCATGTAACCTACTGACCCAAGTGTCCTGTGGATGTAAGCTCCTGAGGTGGGGTCCCCACCTCTACAAGGACTCACTTGTAGCCCTGCAAGGGCTGCAAGTTCAGTAGGGGTTGGACTGAGGTGAGGGCATGGGGTGCCCTGCAGAGAAGGACACACAGCACGTTACCTGGCGTGGCATACGGCACCATTCAACTGAATGCTTCTGTCGCTGTCTACTTCTCCCCAGCCCCGGTGGGAACAAGAATATCACTGTCACTGTGCCTGAGGCCATCACAGAATGGAAAGCAGGAATGTTCTGCACAGGACGTAACGGCTTTGGGTTTGCTCCAGCCTCCCGGCTGACTGTTTCCAAGCCTTTTCTTGTGGAGCTGCCACTGCCATCTTCTGTGGTCCTGGGTGAGACCTTCAACTTGAAGGCCACGGTCTCCAACAACCTGCAGCAATGCATGAGGGTAGGTGAGCCCTGATAGCCTCTGCAAGAAAAGTGGGACATGGCTGACATCTGTGATCATAGAATCGTAGGGGAAGGGACCATAAAGATCGTCCAGTTCCAAATCCCCTTTGAGAAGTCATGGCAATTCAGTGGTGTTCCCTCTGATTGGAAAAGGGACAACATTACCCCCACTTTTAAAAAGAGAAATAAGGAAGCACCCTTGACAGGCTTGAGAGTTGGGCCTGTGCAAACCCCATGAAGTTCAGCAAGGCCAAGTGCAAGGTCCTGCACCTGGGCTGGGACAATCCCAAGCACAAACACAGACACACTTGTTGCCCTTGATAACCCTGGCCAGGTTGCCAGGGTTATCAAGGCTCTCCCAGCCTGATCCCTGGCTAATCAAACAATCTGTGTGTATTCCTCTCAGGCTGTGCCCCTCCTTCCACCCTCTGTAGGCTTCCTTTTTGTGTTGTTGATGTTTATTTATTGCCACCTGCCATCTCTGCTGCCCCTTCAGATCCAAGTGACCCTGGAGGAGTTTGCACACTTCCAGCTGAAGCCATGCAAAGGCTGTGTCTACAGCAGCTGCTTATGTGCCGGGGAAGCCAAGACCTTTCAGTGGAGTGTCACAGCTGAGCACCTGGGTGAGAAGCACAGGGAGGTGGGGTGGTGGAATTGGGAAGGGATGGGACCGAGGTGGGGATGTTTTGTAAAAGCTGACACAGAGTGAGCAGCTGTTTGCTCTGTTACCCAGAGAGCACTTACTTGCACTTATCCTATGGTCATGGTTACTCACAAGCCTGTGCTAGGAGGTACAAAAACATATAGGGCTCTGATCAATTTTTTTGTTGTCAGCAGGTGATGTCTATTGTATTAACAGGAAGTGTTTCCTCAGAAGGTGTCTTATAGACCTAAATGTGTGTGTTATTTTCAGGGCTCGTGAACATCACCCTGAGCACAGAGGCTGTGGCCACCAAAGAGCTCTGTGGTGAGGAGATACCATTTGTCCCAAAACAAGGACAGAAAGACGTGATCACCAAACTCATTCAAGTTCGGGTCAGTCAAGTTGTTCTGTTGCCTAAGCCTCAAAGCAGGCTTTGTGCAATTCCCAGATTTTGTGTATGTTAATTTTGGGAGTTACCCCTTGCTATTCAAAATGTGTAATTATCATCTCAGGGCGTGAGGGCTGATGGATGTAGAAGGTAAAGGGACATCCTCCACTTCAAACCATGGAAAACTTTAAACACTCTTTTCTGTCCTTGTCCCCTGAGTTCTCTGCTGAATCTTACAGCACCACTTTCACAGATATTCAGAATTTAGTATATTCCGAAAATGCATGCTGGTTTCTGATCAGAAGTGAAAATGATTGAAAGTAGTTTGCATTTTTGTGTGATAATGATGATACTCCAGCTGGCTGTCCACCCTGAACCAGGATTCTGAACATACCTTCTTCTAATCCAATTGTAATCCCGTTTCTCTCCTGGGTGCTCATTAAAATACTACTTTTATGTGCTCCAACAGCCAGAGGGAGTGTTGGTAGAAAAGGCTCACAGCTCCATCCTGTGTCCCGAAAAAGGTAGATAGATTGTTTTCTTCTTTCACCCTTTTTATCCCCCTCTTCCCGCCTAACCCCCTTCTGGGTATTTCCACTTGTTGAACTATTTTCTCTGTCCGCATGATGAAGCTACAGAAGTGTACTCTAGCTGTGGTGCCAGCTAGGGCTTTCTCCTAGGCAGGGATGTGGGGAGGTCTGGTCTTTTACCATCAACATTTCTGCCACTAATGTGACAGCTTGAGGCCCTTTCCTTTGTGGAAATAAAACCCCACTACTGAACTTGGTGAGGCTGGAGGACATGGCTTAGGGTTGCCGTTCCTGTCTTGAATGTTATGGTGTATGATGCATGTGGAGCATTGAGAAGACAGGCCTGCAACTGAAATCTTAAGTGAGATGGAATAACTTCTGTAGAGAAAAACAGGTAGCTTTGACCCCTGAGGGTTTCCAGGAGAAAATCCTCTCAACCTCTTTATAAAGAGGGGTGTTAGGACAGCACAGTTACCATGAGGTGGATGGAGGAAGTTAAGGGTGCAATGGGACACGGACTTTTGAAGTGATTTACAGCCTCTGTGCCGGGAATATGGGAAGTTATCACAGAAGAGCCTGGAACAGTTTCTGGGGATTTTGAAGACTTTTTTCACCAGAATCTCTTTCTTTTTTGTCTCCCCACACCTTACCTGACTGATGTCAGGGAATCCAGCAGAGGAGTCTGTGTCCCTGGTGTTGCCTCTAAATGTGGTTGAAGGTTCAGTCAGAGCCACTGTCTCGGTCACTGGTAAGGAATTAAGCTATGGCAGTACCCTTGCAAATCCCATATCTCTGAGTTTAGACCTAGGAAAATCTGAATTCCCCCACACAGCCCTTCTGAGTTTCCAAGGCTCCACTGCCATGTTCTTCCCATGTGTGTGGCTGTGTTTCCTGATTACTGACAGCCCAAAACACGCAGCAAGGCAGACAGTGCTGCATCAATGAGCTTCCCTGCCAGGATGGGAATGTGTACAGCTCATATGAGGGGCACAGCAGAATGGAGAAAGTGGCTGGACAGAGGTGTCCCCACACTGCTGTGCTGGGCCTACCTTGCTTGGTGCACGGCTGGGAATGGTCACAGGTAGGAGTAGGTGGATCCTACTGCCCAGGAGGTGGTCAGGGTGCTTATGTTTTGTCTCAGGGGACGTCATGGGGACGGCACTGCAGAACCTGGACCACCTGGTGCAGCTGCCCCACGGCTGTGGGGAGCAGAACATGGTGCTGTTTGCCCCCATTGTCTATGTGCTGCAGTACCTGGAGAAGACGAGGCAGCTGAACCCTGAGATCAAGGACAGGGCAACAGGATTCCTGCGCAGTGGTGAGTACAATAGACCCACCTTGCCCCTCTGCCTTGTCCTGTGTCCAACAGTCCCAGGTTCCTACTCCCTTTCCACCTGGATCACTCAACCACCCCGTTCCTTCACACTGATTTCATGACAAATCCACTGTGAGCACTCATGTCCTGTCCTGCTTCCCAGGGTACCAGATACAGCTGCACTATCAGCACCCGGATGGTTCCTACAGTGAATTTGGGATCCAGGATCAGTATGGTAATACTTGGTAAGCCCTGGGCTCTCTCCCTGCTGTCTGACAGCCAGGAGGTGGGCAGTTTTCTGCTTCCAGCGCAAAACCCTTGCTGTCCTATAAGATCCAAAGTGTTCTAGAGGTTCTGTGGACTAGGGCGTCCCATGGGTAGGCATCCCGAGTCCTGGGGATGAGCTGAGCTTGAACCAGAACATTAGAAATAGCACAATAGGTAAAGAGAGATACACCAGTTTCAAAGTCCCACTTTTTTCTGCTCAGATTCTTTCTTTCCACTCATTCTCCATGCATTCTACTTCTCTCTGATTCTCTCTTCCTTCTTTCATGCCTTTTTTTCTGTTGTACTCAATCAGGCTGACTGCATTTGTGGTTAAATGCTTTGTCCAAGCCAAGCCGTACATTTACCTGGACAACCGGATTATCCAAGCTGCTCTCACCTGGCTGGAATTCCACCAGCTTCCCAGTGGTTGCTTCAAAAATGTGGGACAACTTTTCCACACATTCATGAAGGTAGGAGCCCCAGTTGAAGGACAACACCAAGCAGTTCTTGCCAAGTGTGCTGGTAATTGTTTAAATTCACTTGCCTGTGTTGCTGTGTTTTCTTGAGGGGGAGCAAGCCAGGGATAGGAGAGACCTCTCCTGAAAAGCTTCAGTATTTGCCTGTTAATTTTCCCAGCTTTTTGGATGTCTATACTTTTTTTAGGGAGGTGTAGATGGGGAAGTCCCCTTGGCTGCCTACATCACTGCTGCATACTTGGAGGCAGGAGCAACACCAGAGGTAAATACTGGGATTCTTTGCCATGCTCTTGCCTTAAGATCTGAATCTTAAAGATCTTAATGGTAACACTGGGGTAGGCAACAGAGCACCTTGGAGGGACATGTGGGCAAAGTAATAGAGTGGGTGGGGAAGATTTTACAGCTTCTTGGGGAAAACTCTCTCTTTGAGGACGACATCCCTGCCGTGGAAAAGGTGAGGTTAGACTACTGGGGACCACTGGACTTCATAGCTTGATACTGTGCTGGCCATTTCCCAGGAATGAGCTGTTCATTCCTGCTCCCCCCTGCCTCCCATCCCCTTGCTGGTCCTATGAAGATGAAGGCTGATCGTGAGGTGGGTGGAGCTGCTCCCACAGTCAAGTAAATAGACATAATGTAACTCTTAATAGGGTTTAGCTTCTCAAAAAAAGCAGAAGTTTGGGAAAGAGTGCTGTAGGGCAGCTGGAACTGCAGGCTTAAGTAACAACGATAAGAGGGAGCTCTTACAAGGGCTAAGGATTGTAGCTAGTTACTAGAATGTGGTAGAGGGAAATAAAAAAAAAAACAATTAACTTGATGGAGAAACACAATTGTAGACACTGAGAACTGAAGTTCTCTGGAGATCAGAAAAGTAAGTGAAAAAGCAATGCTTTTCAGCTGAACAGAAAGCAGTGGACTTAGGCAAAAAAAATGGAAGACAGGTGGAAATTAAACTTCTTTCTGGTAATAGATGTCCTTCAGGCCACCCTTTTTTCACCATAAATTCAATTATTCACTGTGAAGGTGAATTAAACATGGTTGCCCTGCTGAGCAGGCTACGTGTACGCATTTACAATTGTGTGGTTTTGCTGTTGTTGTGTTTGGACTGGGAAAGTAAAACACAGTGGTGTTATTCCCACAGGAAAGGTGTTCATTTCATTGAGAGAGCACTGCTGAAGCCCAAAACTAGCTCAGGGGGGGAGGTCTGTCAAGCACCTTCCACCAAGGGCTGAAGACACTGCTACTGGTGCTGCACTGACACAGAGAGTGCAGGACCGAGCACAGTCACCTGAGTGAATGAATGGGCTGCTTTCTGTGCCGGCATGTGCCACTGCATGCTTCTGCCTGTGTTCCAGGGTCTGCCTGGCTGACAGGGGTTTGTGTGTGACCAGCACCATGCTCCTCTCTCCTGCAGAGCACAGTGGTGCACAGGGCTCTGGGCTGCATCGCTCCTGCCCTCCCCAAGGCTGCCAGCACCTACACCCAGGCCCTGCTGGCCTACACCTTTGCCCTGGCTAAGGACTCTCAGCGCACCCAGGAACTCCTTGATGTGCTTGGCCGAAAGGCAATCAGAGCAGGTACGGGGGCCTCAGTGCCAGGGGAACACCAGAGAAGGGACAGGTGACCTTTCTGAGCCCTCGGTAATGTGCAGCCTGGGAGGAGCACAGCCTCACCCTCTAGGCCCATCACTAGGAAAGGTTTTAGACATCCCTTGAGTGAGCTCACAGTGTGAGCCAACACTGCCAACGCTGCCAGCACTGTGGTGTGGGTGCTGATTTCCTTCAGATTCTCTCGCCCTTTTCTGGTACCTGAAGTGGAGGTCGGGGTTTGGGAGACTTGGGAATTCTTGTGCAGGACTGCAAAACGCCAGAGAGGAAAGCAAGCTGCCCCATGTCTTGCTAGTCCCTGACCCTCAGGGCTGGCCAGTGGACAGCTGGCTAGTATCAGGCAGTGGACCTGACAAACCAGGCAATATAGAATTTGGACAACTGGGAGGAAATGCATATGCAGATTATTGGCATATTAGTTTTATATGTCACTCCTACGGAGTGTTAGGTATTGCAAAATACATAGGTTTTCAGCTGCCCTGGGGATGTGATTACCCATCCAAAAGGTGTTTATGGTCTCTGCAGACACAAGCCGCTGTGTCTAGGAGGCTAGGCCACAGGAGTTCTTCCCTGACATCCTTCAAGGTTCCCTCTACTGCCTTCCTTTCCCAGATGGGCAGATCCACTGGAGTCAGACCTCATCCAAACCCAGAACCAGTACCAGCCCTTGGTCACAGCCAATATCCACAGATGTGGAGCTGACAGCCTACATCCTCTTGGCCCTGCTCTCCAAGCCAAATGTCACAGAGTCTGACCTCACCACAGCCTCTGGCATCGTGGCCTGGCTCACCAGGCAGCAGAATGCCTATGGAGGCTTTGCCTCAACACAGGTAACTCATGGCCAGGGAAGGGGAAGTTTCTTGAGAAAGAACCTCTGCAAGATATGCACACAATGTGTGCAGGTGTAAATGCTTTGGGCAGAGGTGCCCTTGGATATGGAGGTCCTCAGGATTCTGATATCAAGTGTCTCTGGATGTCAGAGATGCAAATGTAATTGTGTTTTCCTTTTCAGGACACAGTAGTGGCCTTGCAGGCATTGGCTAAGTATGCAGCACTGACACACAGCACACAGGGGGATGCAGAAGTGAGGGTGAGGTCTCATGGAGGCTTTGGGAAGAAGTTCCAAGTCTCCTACCAGAACCGGCTGCTGGTGCAGGAGGCGGCACTGACAGAGGTCCCGGGCAAGTTCTTGGTGCAGGCCCACGGCAGCTGTTGTGTCTTTACTCGGGTAGGTTCCCACAGACCCTGCTCTGACCACCCTCATCTCCTCATCTTGTCTAACATCATCACTCTGTTGCACCTCTGTGGGAGGAAATGTGCATTGACTGTGCTTTAATCCCAGCCTGGTGCCAATGCAATAAACCTGTGTGTGGGAGGAAACGGACAGGACCTGCCCAAATATGAGGACCATGATGCTTCCATGGCTCTCAAGAGTACTGGAAGACAAAAATGTTTTATAGTGGTTCCACTGCTGTGTGCCTGACTTGCACAGTCTCAATTGAAAGTTTGAGATGGACCCCATGGAAGGTTTCCAATCTGAGTGACCTTTATTTTGGGTACTGGAATGAATGTGCTTACTGCATATCATTTATCTATTCACTGTCTGGGTCCAATCTTGAGGAGTTGAGTAGCCAGTGAAAAAAAAGGTGTCATAGATGATATCAAGCAAATTATCAATGTCTTAGTCTGTCTTTTTGTCTCTCCCTGCAGATGGTGCTGAGGTACAACACACCCTCCCCACAAGACTCAACATCCTTTGCCTTGCAAGTGAAAACTGAGCCTGTCAGCTGCACCGAGGACAATACACGCTCTGTTACCGTCCATGTCGATGTCAGGTGACTCTAAAGATCTTGTCCCACTTGAGAAGGAAAGCTGGGCATGGCTGGAGAGCTGAGGGGTGCTTCTTGGCTGCAGGGGAGGCACCAGGCAGTTTCAGCAGGAGGGCCAGATGGAGAGCCTTGGCTCTTGCTGGGGAGAGGTGTGCAGTAGTCAGCTCAGACTGGGGATGCTCAGAGCAGAGCAGCCATCCTCTGCATCCTGTGAGAGGGAGCAGTGACTGCCTCAGCCCCAGCCCTGGCTGGGCTGTCTGCCTCAAGGCACTGCACACAGGGGTTGGTGGTAAAGGGAAGGGAAAGCTAGGAGAGACTCTCTTTTTAATGCTCTCCCCCAGAGACTCTTTTTTGATCTTCTCCCTCAGGTACAATGGGAAGAAACCTACTTCCAACATGGTGATTCTTGAGGTGTCCTTACTGACTGGATTTGCCCTGGCTCCAGGATCTGGGATGTCTGTAAGAAATGTGGAATCAGGGTGGGGATGTGGTGTCAGTGGGACCATCTCTGCCCAAGGAGAGGGGAAGGCTCATGGCAAGGCTGCACGGGAAGGTTGCATAGGAAGGTGTTGCCTGTCTCTTCCTTGAGCAATCTCACGATCCCTTCCCCCCTGCCACACAACGAACTTGGACACATACTGTTGGCTCTTTCTTTGAGTCTTGAGGACAGTGATACTTCTGGCCTGATCAGCTTAGCATATCCCTGTTAGCTAAGTAGCCCAGGCACTTGTCCTTGGGGTTTGCAGGAGCTGGGTGGCCCTGCAGGGAGATCAGCCTGAAGAGATGAGCCCAAAATACATTTGGAAGTGAGTGGATGAGAACCTGCCCACTCAGACTTAGATAAACCTTGTTGGGTTGTCTGAGACTTTCCTTTCAAAAGGCAAAACTAAATTGCTTCCTCCTCTCTCGTGTCCTAGCTGCAGCATGGGCACTCTGTGAGAAGAACTGAGAAAACACAAGAAGGCGTTGCCATTTACTTAGACAAGGTAATGTCTGTGCTGCTAGAGAAGCTGTAGGAGTGGAGGGCACTGCCAGAGTTGTTGGGAGAATCCAGGACTGGATCAGGATACTCAATATTCATCTTGAAATTCAGTGTTTGAATCTACAGAGTTGTTATTGTCAGTTAGTAGGATCAAGTTCAGATGAGGAATAAAAAGAACAGTTCGTAAGTAAACAGTCATTTACTTTCTTCCCCAGCTGAGCCATATCTCTGACACATACGTCCTGCATCTGGAGCAGGAGATTGAGGTGACCAACCTGAAGCCAGGCCATGTCAGGGTCTATGACTACTACAACCCAGGTCAGTGTGGAACCATGGGGTGCCAGAGCTGCCTGGCTGTTTGCACTTGGCTCTGTGCAAGGATAACTTATATCTCTCCTGTTCTGTTGCAGAGGAGCAGGCCCTGGCTGACTATAACATCTTCTGCATCTGAGGTAGGTGCAAATCCCCTCCTCAGCCCCCTGTGCAGACCTAGCAGCCTTGTTATGCTTCCTCTGCACCCCATCCACTTCTGTGTCCCACTGGAGCCCTGAGTATCTCTGATTCAGCATGTTCCCTTCATCTAGGACTGTATCTGAAACTCACTAAGCAGAATTTGTGGTACTGGTTTCAGCTTATTTTATTTGGGTATGGAGAGTTTCTCTTTCTGGGGAGGAGCTGAAGTAAAACAAAGATACTGGAACAAACAAACAAAAAAACCCCCTTTCCTTTAGAGTCCTTAGTGAAAGCTTGTGCTCCCTAGCTGTTAGCATCCCAAAGTTAATAATTTGGGTCATATTATTTTCTCTCTAGGTTGCTCTCTCTTCTGCTCTCATTTCTCCAGGGACTTGGATTGCTTCCTTACTGTCCACTGCTTCAGCTCCCAGGGATCCCACTAGTGCAAGATACCTTAGGAGAGAGGGGCTGCTGCATTATTGCTCCTGGTGTAATGAGACCTGTGTCACCTGGAAAGTCACATCTCAGGCTTGGGATTTTGGTGCTGGGACACATCTCAGGCTGGATTTCAGGACTAACTTCAGCCTAACCTATGCTGCCCATCCTGACAGCCATTACCTGGTGATTTTTTTTGGGTGTCTGATTAATTCTGATTGTTTAAATCCAGGGATTTTCTTGCTTGTAAAAATAATGAAAATAAAATACAAATCACAAATCAGGGTACTGTGGTGTGTGTTTGGACTCTGTGACAGAGTTTACCTGAGAAGAGTGGGCAGAAGCAAATTCTGTATCTGAGCCATGTCACTGGCATTTATTTCCTGCAGCACTGGATTCTCCTCCAGCAGTGCTGTGCAGCCACCAGTGTGGGGTGAGGACTCCTAGTCCTGCGTGGAGACTGAGCCCACTGAGCATCATCTACTGCACACAGATGTAGCTGAGCCATAAGGTCTTGGCTGCTGGGGCACTTTATGTGGGTGTAAATCTACCCTGCTCTGTACCTCACAGACTGACTCTGTCCTCCTGGCATAGAAAGCAGAAAGGGAGTGATTTAAGTTTCTGCACCTCCTGTGGAGCTGGATTTTGCTCAGGACAAGTCAAACATGAGTTGTCAGGATGGGGTGGTGCCCTGGGGTTGGACTCCCTGCTAATGAGTGAGGAAAGTGAGCAGGGTCTTTGCCACAATACAAGGAGCTGGACTGGCAATTCAGCAGCCAAAGAGCGTGTGAAAATTCAACATCTATCACTGCTTTTTAAAATCAAACCTCACAATTAAATGCTGGTGATCACAGATCTTTTAGGTTGACAGGGACATGTCTCTGTATAAACAGGTAGATCTCCACAGACCCTCCCTAGAGCTGGCTGTAAGAGTGATGGGTAAATGCAAAGGCAGGCTTAAGAGTGGATGGTCTGGAAGACAGGTGAAGGTTGAGGGTCAGGGTTTGGTTACAGCCCTGGAAGCTCTCCACACACTGCAGCAAGGCTAGGATTTGTGCTGGTTTAATGGGAGGGATTTGGAACTTTGTGTTTAAATTTTCACTATGATGCTCCAGAGTAATCCTGAAGAGTCAGCAAGTCCTGTCTATGAGACAAAGACATGAGCATTACAAGTTTTTTTGTATAAGAGTGAGCACACTGAGATGTGCCAGCAAGGCAGGCTGCTGACAGCCTGCTCTGTGCTTCATGTGCAGTTTAGCAGGGCTGGAATGAAAGCATGAGCTCAGCACAGCAGCTGGATGGTAGCAATACCTTGTACAGTGTCAGAAGTGGCTGAGCTGATTAACAGGTGCCACTTTCTCTTCTTGCCCTTTTGTTTAAACAGGTTTAAACAAAACTTTGAAAAAAAACTGTTTAAACTTTTCCTTCTCTATTCAATTTCCTCAGTAGTCCATGAGCAATGCAGGTCTCAACTCTGCAGATCAGAATTTTTGATTACTTTCTTTCAAACTTTTAAAAAACACTTTGCAAATATTTCTGCTTTTTTTTGCAAATGTCTTCTCTCCCCCTTGCCTTTACCACTGGCAAAGTCTGTCCTTGCTGCTATCAAAAAGCAGAACTGGAGCCAGCCAGGTCTGCAGGTCTGCAGCTGGCACTGGTACTTGAGAGTACATTGCCTAGAGCTTGGAGTCTTGCAGAGAGGGAGGAACTCCACCTATCACTGCCAATGCCACCATGTTCTTATAATCTGTTTTGCAGAGCTTAGCAGAGCACTGGTCTGAGAAAAATCCCCAGCACAGAGGTTTATTGGGAAAACAACTTCTGTGGTGGTTATAACACACAGGAATCCAACCTACCCCTTGCTGACAGCATGAGGAGTAGCTTATGCAGGAGCCCATTATTGCAGAAGGAGGTCACACACAACCCCTTGCTACTCCTATGTGTATTTACACAGTTTGTGTAAAAATTACACATAGTGTCATTTTTGACTCAATAATCCATTGTAATTTCTATTCCACTTTCTTAACAACTGTTCTGTGTCCTTTAAAATGTTCTTTATGTGTTCTAAACAGTAATACCTGTGATGTCTGGCTACTAGAGAGCATTTGGAAGGAGGTGGTTGTCTTCCAAGAGAATTTAGACAGGGGAAAAACCACTTTTGTACAAAACACATTGATTTCTCTCTGGCTTAAACATCCCCTTCTCTGCTTAGAGCAGCAGATGTCAAACATCCCAGTCATTTTTTTATCCTTCACAAAACTGAGGGGTTGTGGTGATTCAGGCTGAAGCTTGGTGGTGTGCATCCTTACATTTAGCTCGTGATCAGCTCACAAGCTGGCCTCCAGGGACACAGATCCCCTATGGATGTGCCTCCTGCCTGTCTCTGGGCCAGGTGATGAATGGATCTGTGGGCTGGGGAAGGATCTTAGCACCGGACAGCACCCAGGTACTGTGTGCCCTGTCACCAAGTCCCAGGGCGTGCAGAGCCCTGCTAAGAGGTGCTCCCTTCCCCAGTGCCTTCTGCCCACCAGCAACTGGACACTGTGCTGGTGGTGGGAAATGGAGATAGGACTGAGGCAGATGAATCACACACACACACCAAGCCTGCTGCTGTGTTTTTGTTGCTCCTACATTTATTTAATCCTGTTTCATTGGGAGTTGGACTGGACTGTGTGCTCAGGGTGTAGCTTTCCAATCAGTGCCAAGGCCAGTACTTCAGAGGTATTTACATGTCTGCTCTCACAAAACAGCTGCTGGAGTCAGCAGGAGTCAGGACACTCAATACCTTTGCCATTTTGAGCCCCTGTGCTGTCATTTGGGATCTGGCTGTCCCCTGGAACTGCTGTGGATCTACTGTGAGCAAACAAATGTCAGCCGGGATTGTTCAACAGGCACTGCCTGTACTTTCTGAGACCCATGGAAAGAAATGAAGGGCAGCTTACTGTCAGAGAATGATTCATGTTCTTGCTCTGGTTCCTGTCTGCTTGTTTGTCCAGGTGCATTTATACATTTTTCCCAATTGCTGGCACCAGCAGCTCTGTCCTGAACAAAACCCAAGAGAGTGAAAGGAGAGAGAGGAGTTGCATCTGCCCATTATACATGTGTACATGAATGGGTAAAAGAAAGCCTCAAAACCTAGTTTCCTTGTTATGGTCAGTCTGTACTAAAGCAAAGGAAAACATTGCTAGGCCCTACATGTTTAAGAGCTCAGATTGGTACTGACAAATAAATTAGTGGTACATTTTTATATGAAATGACCTTGATACTAAAATTGAATTACTTCTTATTTTGAGAATAAGTAGTTTCAAGAACCAGATTCTCTTTTCAATTATGGTATGATACTCAGGGAAAAGTTCAGTACAATCACTGGACTAACATATATAAAATTAGCATGTGGAAAGAAGGCCACAAACCAGAGAGTGTGTGTTCCCATGCTCAAGCACAGCCTTTTGGTAGCTAGACAAGACCCTGTAGGACTTCATCCCTGCAGATTTTGACCTGCCTAACCAATGTTTAGCCCTCATTTCCTCCACTGGTGAGGGTGTGAGTAGGTTGGCCTTGAACTGGAGCACAGAGCAACATGATACAGCTGGGGTGAGTTGCAGCTGTTCAATTTTCTCTTCAAACTCAAATACCCATAGGGCAGAGCCAAGGTGAGGATTTCAGCCCTGTTTGCTCCTTGTGCTTTCCCTCTATGTGAAGGAGAACTGTGCAAATATACAGAATTTGTACAAAGCCTGGTCTCCATTTCAGGTCTGAGACCTTCCTTGGGTGCTACAGACTCAGAAAGCCTGGGACAGTATGACCACAAGAGTTCACAGTGAGCTCCAGCTGGGTGCACATGCCAGGTGGTCATGGGACAATCCAGCCAGAGGCAAAACAATGGGACTTGGGCTGCAACTGGCCCAGGGAGCAGGGGCAGTGCAGTGAACAGGAAACAGGCTGCTGGTTAGCAAAATAAAAGGCACATTTGTCTGAATGATGCTGGTCCATCCACAGGGGAGTAGGAGAGCAGTGAGGCTGGAGTCCAGAAGGACTTGGATTGGCTGGGGAACATCCTGGATGGTACAACCGTGTGCCTGTGGCACTATAAATGCAGGAATGAGGTGGAGGGAAGGAAACCTTGGGTATTTGTGTCTGCTTCCTGGGAGAAACAACAACAGCAGGTGTCCTGGAGACTTTGGAAGGAGAGGAGCAGCACCCTACTTTCTCTCCTGATCAGCCCTCGACAGGAATCCACCCCTTTGGGGTTCTCCCATGAAAATGTGGACTCCCTCCCTCCTGAGCTGCCTGCTCTACACCCTGGGGATAGTGGCACAACCGTAAGTGCCATTTAAAAATCTAGTGATTGATAGCTGTGAATGCTGAGGGAGATAGCAGGGAGAGAGTGTGGGACCCTGTGAGCCCCCACCTAGCCATGAGGAGGGGTGCAGAGCCTTGTTGTGAATGCAGGGCCCTCCTGGAGGTGGGAGCCTCTCTCACAGATATGGCTGCAGTACAAGAACTAGGTGAGCACTGGTGGTGGGAACAAGAGTGAGGGACTGCAGCATGAGGTGGGATGAA